TTGAGTTAATATATTGAAAGTTGGAGCATGAACTTCATCAGTAGAAGTTCCTTCAACCAATCTGGGACTCTTTCGAGGCGTTTCAATGGGTTTCTTAGACATGATTTTGTTGAAAAACTTAATTGGACGGACGATTGTGAAAATGGTGTAGTTGGCTGGTGAGAAAAATGGGAGAGACAAGGTGAAAGTGGGGTAGTGGGGGTGATGGCGTGTAGATTTGAATAGGCGTGGGTGGAGGGTGGTGGGATTGAGGTATAGGAGGTTTGGAGTGTAACATTAAACAAGGAAGTCTAATCTATGTAAATCCCTTAATATGTGTAACTGATGATTTCAGTTTTAAAAAAGGAATTGAAATCAAATTAATTAAATATTATTAATTAATAATATAAAATATAAACAAATTAATCATTTATTAAATAAATTGAAATTGATTTTTAAATTAAATTAAATTTAATTGATATGTCATAACCCGTAAATAAACTGTTATAAGTAAGAATTGTTTAAAAATATGTTTAAAACCCGTAAAATTTACTCTTAAATGTGTATATGGCGTGAATTTTTCATTTGAATATGAACTTATAATTATTTTGGGTTTTAGGGCCCATTTATGTAGTTTTTCCAAAAATTTCATGAAAATTGAACCAAAAGCCCAAATCCATTAACTTGTTGAGCCCAACAATATGCCTCTTTTGTAGTCTCTCCCTGTTCCTAAATTTTGCCAAGTCTCTGCAATTTCCTCCATTATTATCAGGGTTTAAGAGCTTCACCATCACCATGAACACCTTAAACCCTCTTCATCTTTCTGCAAAATCAAACAATTTTCAGTACCAATTCATTCCTTCAGTGTTAACTCAACAACCCCTCAATTCTTTTTCCTTCAAAACTCCATTTCCATTATCCATTAAACTCTCTAAAACCCCTAATTCTAAACCCTTCAAATCTTTAATTCCACTCTCTTTTCTCAAACCCACATTGATTTCCACCATTACTGCCACTGCCCTTTTCTTTACAGGGTTTTATTTCAACCCCAAACAAGCTATTTGTTGTCCTGTTTCGCCGGTGCCAACCGTGGACACGAATGTGAAAGAAGAAGTTTTAGAACAGGAGGAAACTGAAAAGGCGCCAGAAAATGTTGAAATATTGAGAAATTTGTTGGAAAATCGTGTTAAGAATAGAGAATTAGACGATGCTCTTAGCATTATAAACAAGTTGATTGAGCTGGAGCCTGATGAGATCGAATGGCGTTTCTTGAAATCTCATTTGTATGTTCATAATGGGGAGATTGAATTAGCTAAATTGGGTTTTAGAGATGTTATATTAAAGGATCCTTATTACGTAGAGGCGTATCGCGGGCTGGTTGTGGCAGCATCGGAAGATGAGTCCGTGGAGGAAATGAAGAAAATTGAGAAACAGGTTATGGAGGGGATTAACATGTGTGAGAAGGAGGAGAAAGAGAGTGAGTTGAGGGATTTAAAGCTTATTCTTGCACAAATATGGGTTATTGGAGGTAAATATGATGAAGCATTGAAGGTCTATCAAGAGTTAGTGGATGAGGAGCCAGGGGATTTTAGGCCTTACTTGTGTCAAGGCATGATATATACCGCGTTGAAGAAGAACGACGAGGCTGAGAAGTATTTCGAGAAGTATCGAGGACTGGTGCCACAAGATCATACTAATGCTAGATTCGAGTTTATGATGGCGACTTGATTGCAACAAAGGTTTTTGCAAAGAAGGCGGAGGGTGTGATTGTTGGTTTTCCATGGAAGCTGAGATTCTATGATTGAGGTATGGTAGAAATTGAGTTGCATTGTATTGTTGTAGATTAATTATATTGTGCTTATTAGATGCTTAGATATACTTTTCTCTCTGGTTTGAGAAGGTAGAGGCTTTTACGTAGAGTTGTAGCACTTAGGTTTAAATTCAGATGCCAAGATGAGTTTTTTATGTAATTTAGTGGAATGGAGCTCGAAGCTATTTAACTTCAGATTAGATGGTATTTTGAATGAAATGATGAACTATATAAGATAAATTCAATCAAGAATGCAAACAAAATTACTCTTTGTGATATTATCTTGTGTAATGCAATCATTCCTGCGCAATATGCTGTGAGTCTTATATGTTGTGAGCTCTGACTTCTGATGCCGAAGACACAAAGATTACATGGGAATGGTTTGCTGCTACCGACATGTGGGAGCAATTAGGAATACTTTGATCATTTAAACAAGTCTAACCTTTGTAGCTCGCTTGAGTTATGTTATTCATACCATACTACACTTGCAACCAAGAACTAAGAGGGAAATCTGAGTTCATTGGAGATTAAATGACACCAGTTCGTAAACAATGTTGAACACCATTCGTTCTGAAATTATCCTAAATACATAGTGATCATTCAGACTAAATTGAATTAAACTCAAATAAACCAATTAAACCTGTGTTGTTTTGCAAAATGAATCCAAAAATCTGTCTTTTAAAAGAAAAAAAGTATGAGTGTTTGTTATTTAGTTCTGTTTCTCAATTTTAGTTTTATTATTTTGAAGATGTATTTAGAGGTAGGTAGGGAGGTCTTGACTAGATCCCTCTATAATTATGTTGAAGATTTGCAGGATTACAAGTTCAGTGAACATAATATGAGCATCAGGATTTCATCCTCTCTTTTTTCGAGCATCAGGATAGATCATTTCATGTTCCCTATAGTTACTTATCTGGTCTTTGGAACGATGTTGCTCGGATCCTCCAAAACATGCCTCTGCACTCGTGTCGTATCCACCATAAATGAAGAACTTTTGGAGGATTTGACACACACCTAACAATGTTTTTTAAGGATCTGATAAACATAACTTTGGAATATATGTTAGAAGTCCATTAGTCAATATTATGTTGATCTTCGCCTACATGTAATTTTCTGTGCATAGCCCATGGGTAATACTTTTGGTTTTAGGCCAGTTAATGTGACATCATGAACTTTGTGTAGATCACAATCGAGTTCAATGATGTTCTTTTCTCTTCATGCCTTGAAGTTTGTTGTTTAGATTGAATCTAGTTATGTAACCCTTATAAATCTAGCTTGCTGCAGCTGCTTCTTCTTGCTTCAGTTTGATTAGGAAAATTCCTAATGTACATTTAGTGCAACAACAACAACAACACACACCCAATGTAATTCCACAAGTGGGGTCTGGGGAGGGTAAAATGTACACATTCCTTAACCCACCTTTTTTTGAGAAGGTAGAGAGGCCGTCTCCAAAAGACCCTCAGTTGAACAAAAAGTGAAAATGTACCTGTAGTACATATAACAAAATCTAAGCATTCTCTTTAAAGCCATTCTCAATGAATCGGAAATTCTCTTGATTCAAGTGTCACATAAGACCCTTTATATGAAGTTGTATGACAACAAAATATGCATCCTTTCCATCACAAAAATTTCAATACACAGAATTACAGGCTATAGTTTAAATCTTTATACATATTTCTAATTAACAGTAGCAATGGCTACACTGTCATCGCCTAGTCTTGACGTTACTCACATACCTAAAAAGCGGATTTTCCCCCAGTTTATAAGATCCAAACTTAGTTTGATCCAGTTGAGATGGAGTCCACATATGTTGAAATTGATGCAGATACAAATATGGGCACTAAGACGAATGTTAAAGAGTAAATGTTGCAGGACCTGTGGATTCATCAAATTTGAACCTATTGAGAATAGTTTGGATATTTGATTCAATATGTCTGGCTTAGTTGACACAGAGAGGCAGATTCATCCCTCTTTTCCTTTCCTGACAGCTGAAGATGCATTTTTCAGCCTTATTTGTATGAAGAAATTTTGGAACAACGATGAATTTACGGTAAAAATATATCCATACTCAATGTTTGTTCCACGAAAATGAATGCAAGACACTTGCACTTTGCGTGTCTTGCATATTAACTTTGGTTATGTGATATATATATATATTCACTTGCATTTGTGGCATGATTAAATATGCTAAGGTTTGGGGTAGATATCGGGTACAGGTAAAAAAAAAAAAAGTCGACGAGTTTAGCTTGTGGAACCATGTCTAGACCCAGGAAACTTCACCCAATGACCTTGAAAATGAGTGATCTTGAATTTTTGACCCCTCGCTTGCTTCATAGGCAAAACTTCAAGGTTAAAAGTCGAAACTTGAAGTTTTGCTTTTGGAGCAAGCGTGATCAAAATTCAAGACCATCCATCTCTAAGATCATTCTTGTAAATTACCCGGTAAATTTCATGCTAAAATAGGCAGCAAAACTTTTCCATGAAAATTGAGAAGTTCACAAATACCAGAAAGTGAAATCCATCAGGAAGATGATAAACCAATCCCAGACTAAAATTCCACTTCTCTAAAGTCTTACTAAACCACCAAAAAAAAAAGTTGATTTACATTAGTTGAATTGTTGTTGTAGTTGGAGTAACATTTTCTATCTTTTCATGAGACAACACCATCTGCTTGTCATTATTCAACTCAGAATTACTCAAATTAACTTTGGCTGTAGGGACAGACGATGCCAGTGTTGGTGTCCATAACTGTGCATTTTTCACCTTGGAAATGCTTGCAAGAACTCCTAATGGTGTCACATCCCCAGTTACTGTCACCTTCTTAGCAGCAAAATCTATGTTGAAAGATTTCACACCTGACTCATACCCAATCAAAAGTTTACGATTTATCAACGAGTTTAAGTTATATATATGTATCGACAGTACAAGGTAATTAGAAGAAAATTTCTACGATAAGCATCAAGCGATAACATAAAAATAGTACAATTTTGGGTTAAATTTAACTTCAACATAGTCATATATAACCAAAGTGGAGTAGTAAGTACTCCTTGATCCTTAACAAGAGGTCTCGGGTTCGAGTTCCTAAGTCGTCTTTGTTAGAGAGCGCTTTACCCCCTAATGTGAATTTCCTGATGCGAATTCAGATTTAATCGGGTTCTAATGTGGGTATCGGACACCAAACACCGGGTGCGAAACCAAGACAAAAACATGGTCATATATGCAATGAGCTTTACCTAAAGTCATGAGGACTTTTAAACAAGGTCTTACATGATGTAAACACTACATGCTAACTAAGCCTATGGCACACCATCGGTTCCAATGTGGGTATCGGACACCAAACACTGGGTGCGAAACCAAGACAAAAACATGGTCATATATGCAATGAGCTTTACCTAAAGTCATGAGGACTCTTAAAACAAGGTCTTACATGATATAAACACTACATGCTAACTAAGCCTATGGCACACCATCGGTTCCAATGTGGGTATCGGACACCAAACACTGGGTGCGAAACCAAGACAAAAACATGGTCATATATGCAATGAGCTTTACCTAAAGTCATGAGGACTCTTAAAACAAGGTCTTACATGATATAAACATTATATGCTAACTAAGCCTCTAGCACACTATCAATGAATTTTAACTTGTTATAGCATGTAAATTATCTTTTTTATGAATATAACTTAAAAAGGGATAGCCTGGTGCATGAATCATTCCGTGTTCAGCAAAGTCTTGGGAAGGACCACATAAGAAACTTACCTTGACACAAACATCAGTATCAACTGATTCCACGGCTTGAACCCGTAACAAGTCATTGAGAAAATTTCAAAGAGGGCATTATGAATGGTCCCCTAAGAAGAAGAGAGAGCCACACATACCTTGCATTCTAGAGATGTGTTTTCTCATCTTCCTTTCACATCCTCTGCAGTGAAGTGAAACTCTAAGAACAACCACCTGCAACAAAATATTCATTACTCTGTCATTTCATATATGGACCACTTTTTTTTCTACAACTAATATATCCTTCCACTTTATTATTATTCATATATTCTAACAAACAAAAGATGATGTTTAACCTGTAAAGTATCTTTTTTCTTCACTATATTATTAACAAGAATGTTTTTTTCTCTATCTTTCTGAAAAAAGAAATTAAAATAAAACACTTTATTAAATTAGAGTTGAAGTTTTGCTACTTCATAAATGTCAGTACAAATCCTTTTCAATTACTCTCTCTTGTAATCAAATAACACTCTTTCGTTTTTAGTCTCGGACTCTTTAAAAATATCATGATTGTGCATGTCAGATCCTTCAAAATTAATGCATACGGAAATATTTTTGGAGAGTAAAAGTAACATTGGATTAAAATCTAAAAGAGAGTATTTTTTTATAGCTATAGAAATCTCAAGAGTAGGTTGAGAATCATAACGTATCGTGTTCAAATCTTGTCGCAAACAAAAACAAACGATAATTTCTTCTCATATATCCGAATTTTGTTGGACCATTACTAAAAAATCACTAATTTCCCATTCAGCATCTATTTTCATTAGATATTTTTCTGGTGAGCTGGTTCGATTTATAACATAAATTTGTCATTGAATAGTAAAAACCTCTGTTTCTAGTAGTGAACAGATTACCACCCCAAACATATGCTGCCTTGAATTAGTTGAATTATTTATGTTCGAGCTGATCTGAACACTACGATTATTAAAAAAAAAGAGGAGAAGAAGAATTGAGGAACCTGATTAGCAGAAGCAGAAGGTGGAGGACAAGATTCATGTGTCTCTGTTTTCACATCTTCCAGTACAGAGCTACTACTACTAGAATCAACCAATTTGAGAACAGGTTCAAAATCTGATAAAGCATCCAAAATATTCTTCTCACTCAAAAGATATCTAGATGAACCAGGTGGAGTTATAAA